ATGGCTCACGGGCCCAGCTGCTCCGCAGCATGTGGGATCTTCCTGTGGGATCTTCCCGGACCGGGGCACGAACCCGTGTCCCCTGCATCGGCAGGCGGACTCTCAACCACTGCACCACCAGGGAAGCCCTGAGCTATGTTTTATTGATAGTGTCTCATCTTACTCCATGCAGTGATGCTATGAGCTAAGCTTTATTACGCCATTGTGCAGATGGACGGATTGAAGTTTACAAAAGGCAGCAAGAGCACTGTTATGCCCAGTTAATAAGTATGCGTTGAGAGCATTCTTTTTTACTTATTTACTTGTTTGTTTATTTTTGCCTGTGTTGGGCCTTTGTTGCTGCACACAGGCTTTCTCTAGTTTCGGCGAGCGGCGGCTACTCCTCGTTGCGGTGTGTGGGCTTCTCATTGTGGTGGCGTGCGGGCTTCAGTAGTTGTGGCACATGGGCTCAGTAGTTGCGGCTCACAGGCTCTAGAGCTCAGGCTCAGTAGCAGTGGTGCACAGGCTTAGTTGCTCCGTGGCATATGGGATCTTCCAGGACCAGGGCTCGAACCCGTGTCCCCTGCAGTGGGAGGCGGATTCTTAACTACTGGGCCACCAGGGAGATCCCATTCTTTATGCCAGGAGCTGAGCGCATAAGGTGCTGGGCCCCAAGGCCTGAGCCGGGGCATGTTTTGTGTTGCTATGATCTAGAGGGGGAGATGGACGCTGAGCCAGAAGTTACAGGTGTGCTGAGTGCCATCTGAGGAGCAAGACTTCGAAAGCATTATAACAGGGAAAACTCACCTGGTTCTCGGGTTAGAGAATCAGAGAGAAAATACCTTTAAAGCAGAGATCTGATGGAGAGTAGGCATTAGCAAGACAAAGAGAAGAGATGTGCTCCAGGGGGAACAGGTGCGTGGAAAGGACAGTAAGGGCAGAGCCTGGAGGCCGAGGAGGAGAGACTAGAGATGGATCTCACATTGAGGAGTTTGGGTGAGCAGTTGGGAGCCTCTGGAGTAGCTAAGTGGGGAAGCGACTTGATCAAATCTGCATTTTAGAAAGATCACTTTGGCGGCTCTTCGGCGGAGGGGAGACCGATTAGGAGCCTGTTACCATTGTCTTGATGGTGGGAGGTCATGGTGGCACCATGCGCTGGCAGTGGGCTAGCAAGAAGCAGGCAACTTTGCGCGGGAGTCCAGGACACCAGGCCCAGGTGTTTGCCCTGAGGCTCTGAGGGCCATTCTCTGACTACGGGAGGAGGTGGCAATTGGGGTCAGTGGATCTCCAAGACGCCACCAACACACCAGCCATGCTCGGCAGACTGAGATCATGGAAGGAAGATGGAGAGTAACCTGTAGGAACAGGAAGGCAGATATGGAAAGACTGAGGAAGAGGATGCTGGGCAGAGACGACTGGGAGGATGATAGCAATTAAAACTGAGCTGAAGCCAGGGCTGGGGGCGAGAGGGAAGAGAATGGAGAGTAGGAGGGCAGGGCACTGACTGCGCCCACCACTTGGGAAGGTAAAGTAGGGGACAGGGATCCCGCCCCGGCGTCTGTGACTGAGCCAGATCCCTTCCCAAGACAGAAGCATCTTTCCCTCTGATGATCTGATGCTGGTTGCCTGAGGACCTTGTTTCTCTCACCAGGAGGAGTGGAGAGGCCATCAGACACCCCCTCTAGAAATCACAGGAGTTGCCCGCCTCCAGGCAGGGCGTGAGATGGCAGGTGGACGTGGTCTTATGGTTTCCTCCACACAGAAATTACTTTTTCCCCAGGAAGGAACCGAGTGTGTGAGAGGTACCCTTCGGGTCCCCTCTTTCTCAAAGCGTTAGTCCTCCTTTCCGACCTTTATCAGGGGCTATGATAGGCATCTTAAAAGGCAAGCGCTTTTCTCCCATTGCCAGCCTGTTGTGGCTAGAATACCAAATCTGAGCAAATAGCTCTCTGTGTGCTGTCGTCTTTGATTATTTTTTTCCTCTGGGATATATCTGGCTCCAGGCAGACTGTGCCTGACTTTCTCCTTGTAAGGACCATTCGGTTGAGGACACTGTGAGTGAACAGGGCCCAGTAATTGAGTGCCTCCTATCTCCGATTCAGCTTTCTGATCTCTCTCTACCCAGGCCAGTGGTGTCCTGCTTGAGGACTTCTCCCTGAGCGACAGATTTGCTCCTTCGAGACTCCAGTCCCTGGTTCCATCAGCCATCCAAAGCCTGTGTACTTTGGGAAGTCGGCGGGAAATTCAGCCGTCTTCTAAAGATATAGATTAACTGCACATCTGTCAGGGTTTAGTTAAACATGACTGACTAATTTATCCTGCAGTGTGAGATGGGGATTCATTTCCTTTGCAAGTTGACTTGGCAATTTTCTCTGCTCAAAGAACATTTAGAATAGATGGTGTGCATGGCAATCAGGAAGAAATAGATACTATTAATTTTCCATTTTTCAAATGTGAGATTGACTATACAGCCCATATCCCATTCTCCTCGGAAAAACAGACCACCTCCTCTCCCGTTTAGAGCTGTGCACTGTCTGAAAACTCAGAAAAGAGGGCCTTCTAGTCCCCAGAGGGTCTGAGTTGGGGCCGATAAGCACGTTAGTGGGGGCCTGCGCCCGGGGGCCAGTCCTGGTACCTGGCAGAGCCGTGTGGCGCTCTGTTCCTCCTCCTCCTATGGCTCAGCATGAGATGCGGGTTCCCAGCTTGAGCGAGTTTGTGGTCTCCTTCCTCGGCTAATCTGTTCAGATTGGAGGGAAGGACTGGAGGCACAGGCTTGCCTGTCAGGATATCATGATGGACCTCCGAAAGTTGGAAATCCCAAAGGGATAGCTAACTTCATCCAGCGCTCGCCATACAATGTTCGGCCGCCGTGATGGAAGTAGTCTGTATCTGCGCTCTCCCAGATGCAGTCATTCGCTAGCCGCGTGTGACTGCTGAGTACTTGGAACGGGGTGGGTGCAACTGAGGAACGAAATGTTGACTTTTATTTCATTTTAGTTAATTTAAATGAAAATAGCCACATATGGCTCACGGTAACTCTGTTGGATAGCACAGGTATCTGTGTTCACCCGTTTCCTGTGTGGCCAAAGCCAGTTGTGTTTAGGTATCTTTGTCTTACTGGTTTTCTGAATGCTGTTCTATTTGCTCCAAACTTACTGATAAGTTGTATAAAAACAATCGTAGAGGTAATAAAACTCATAGCTGGCACATGCTGAGTAATTACTATATACCATGTGCTTTGCTAAGCCCTCTAACACACCTCATCTCATTTATAGTCACATAATGATACCCTGAGTTTACGGATGACGAAACTTGAGTCACCCAGCCAGCCAGCCAGCGGTCAAGCTGGGATTCACAGCAGGCAGTGAGACCCCAGAGCTCTCCCGACAGACCTCAGTGCCGTTGCCTGCCTGGTGTTTTAAGATACAGTCGTGTCCTGCTTGTTGAACGCCAGGTACTGTCTTGAGGTCATTAGCAACCTGCGTATAAACAATGCCCACACACTCCATGCTTTACAGAGTTTACCTCTGGCTCCCGGCTGGAAGGAAGGAAGCAGCTATACATGTGCACTGAGGTTGCACAGACCCAGTCTGGGTCTGCTCACCACCTCCCCTCAGATGGAGGGCAAGAGAGTCCTTTCCTGCCTGAGGGCTGGGAGGTTTGGCTCGTGTTCTCCATCAAGGACCAAGCCCCAGGCTCAGGAAAGATGGGCTTTCCTGCAAGCAGACATGAACTATAAAAATGAGGAGAGGCTCTGCAAAGTATTGTCTTCTGGAGGGGCTTCATCCCTTTGCAGCTCAGATGGGGGCTGGTCGCCTCAGTTGAGTGAGACGCTGCACTTAGTGAAGGCTGGATGGGGGTTTGAGCGAGACCCTCTGCTCATTCGTCACTACCCCCGTGCCTTCCACTGGGGTCTCTCCGCACTGATAGGTTCTAGCCTTAATCTACATCTTGTCAGCACCATGAGACGTTCAGAACCTGGCTCTGCATTGTAATGTGGCTTGCTTGGCTTCACAGCCTGACTCCTGCAGCTTTAGAATTTGGGAAAACTGACAGTTGTGGGGTTCACTTCCTATTTACTGAGGCTTTACCTCCTCAGGTCTCTAATTCCTGTCCCTCCGGATGCGAACAACCGCTAAATGCATTGCTGGTTTTTCTGCCTCTTGGGAGCGGCCCACTGCCTGGACCCTTTGTCAGAATTCTCAGCACCCAGAATTAGGGTAAAATCAGGCAGCTAGGGAAAGTCAGCTCCCTCCTCTGCACCATTGTCCCTCCTTTGGGGATTTCTCTCCTCCAGTCTTAGCTCTCTATGAGACTGTCAAATAGCCCGCACCCACCTACCCATCCACCCATCTGGATTTTCTTCTTGTTCTCAGGAGTATTCGTTGGCCTTGCTCTGTCATACCGTAAAAGATAAGCCGGATAGCTAAAGATGGGCTGCATATAGAAAGGACTCTTCCAGGGACAAGGCATCCATCTGTCCATAGGGAAAAGTCAAGTCAGTCTGTTCAAAGGCCGGCAACATAAGCCACATCCACAAACCCAAACGTGGGCTAAAGCGAAATCGAGAGTCGCTCTCACTGGGATCTTTTGGTGTCCCAGGCAGCCTTTCCCGAAGAGCATTAGCTGTTCCTAAATGTTAATCTCTTGCCATGAGTTCAGTGGAAAACATCTTCTCTGGCAACTGCAATAGCAAGTTTGATCGGGTTAGCAAAAGGGACCCGTGACGGTCTTTGGAGGCTGGTGCATGATGGCGAGGCCATCCCGGCTTGCTTTCAGAGTGCCAAGGCAGTCCAAGTTCGGTTGTGCATGGCGCTGCTTGCCATGGGCGTCTCGGCTCTCACTTTGTCATACTCTTTACCTGTGAGAGCAGAATCTTTGGGGCATTTTCACAGTGGCATAAGGAGCCATATCCTGGTTGGAGAGGGAGGTCTGTTAGGAGCATCACATGTTGAGAGCAGAGAGTTCAAACGAGGAGAAGGCCCACGGACTCACTGTTTCTTCCATCTTCTTTTCTCCAGCCTGCACGGACAAGGAGTTGAGGAACCTCGCTTCCCGGCTCAAAGACTGGTTTGGAGCCCTCCATGAGGATGCAAACAGGGTCGTCAAGCCCACCAGCTCCGACACAGCCCAAGGCAGTAAGACCGCTTTACTCTCGCTAATTTACCTCATTTTAAACACCACATTCCCTCCTCAGTTATTGGATGTTGTTGATTGACCGCCCTAAGATGCTGTTGTTAAAAGAAACACTAAGTTAAATGTAGACACTGACTTGAAGTATGCCCCAGTTTCAGAAATATCGGAGGAGAGGGAAATGCCTTAGAATCAAGAAAACACTACACCTTAACGTTTTTTAAAGTCTGCTTGCAAAATTATCACGTGCTTAGTACAGTCCTTTTGGAAAATGCATTTAAGGAAAGATACCAAGATAACAAACTACTGTGTAGAAAATAGATAAGCAACAATATACTATATAACATAGGGAATTATAGCCATTGTCTTGTAATAGCCTGCAAAAATACTGAATCACTACGCTGTACACCTGAAACTGACACAATATTGTACATCAACCATACTTCAATTAAAAAATGTATAGAAACACAGCGTTTTAATAACTAAGCACGTCGTGGCGTGGCATATACTTCAAACGTTCCCTTGCCACGTAGAAAAAAATATTTATGTCTGTGTGTGTATGTATATGCACTCACACACACTTTACAGACTATCTTATGGCCTTCTTTTATCACCCAGCAATACACTATCTCTCTAGGCAGTTGAGTGGTATTCTGCCTTGTAATCACTATCTAGAATCTCTATGTGTAGATACAACATAATTTATGTAATTAGACCTTTATTTGGGAGCTTTGAAGTTGTTCCTAATGTTCAGCTATTATAAGCAACACGGTAGCAAACATCTTTGATAACTTAGCTCTATGGACGTTAATCAGATTGCATTTTGTTTTCCATAGATAAACTCCCAGACAAGTGTTCCCTCCGCCATCACTGAACTGGCAGAGACCATACCCAGAGCCTCTCCAGAAGCTGGAGAGAAGACTCAGAGTAGGTCTGCCTGTTTGTACCTTGACAGAGCCTCTCAGTGCCTTTAACGCAAAGGCCATTAGGGGAGAGCTCCTGCACACTGTGGCCGATTGGCACAGAACGGCTTAGTCAACGATACAGTTGTCGAGCCGCGCAGAGCTTTGCCACAGCCTCTTCTGTGTAGAGATTTTTATATTGATTTGTCAAAATATAAAAACACACGTTATTTCAAGCAGAGAGCATCTCACCCCATCCCCGATGCCACGCTTGTGTGGACAGGATTTCTGAACGTAATGCTCCTGGGTTGAACTAAGTAGGTAAGAAGTGATACTGGTAATTGGTGGGACCCAGAGTTTAACCAGCATCTGGTCTTCAGGCCAAATTAGAATGATCTTAATTTCGGGTTTATCCTTTGCTGTTCATAGCCATCTAGAGATACTAGTAGAGAATGTTGATCCTAGGGGACAATTCTTTCACCAGTTTGGAACTTTTAGGGAAAGGTAGATTCTGGGAAGCAAATGCTAAGTGTCCAAAGAGTGGGTCCTGGGGTTGTAGTATCTGTGGGAAGGGGGATGTAAGAAAGAGTCTTTCTTTCCATCCCTGCCAAAGGTTTCCTTGGGAGTTTGTGGACAGTTAATTCACAGGTAGTCTCTAGAAGCTTTTCCCAGGGGTCTTCCAGGAGCCACTGAGGCCCTCGGCTTTCTGAACGACCTTTCAATGAAGAGCAGATTGACGTGAAAGAGCTGCTCCTCGCAGCCTCCAGTCGTGGGAGGCCCCTTCTGCCTCCCAGGGAGCCTGCAAAAGGCCTGCCCTTGGCCACAGGCAAATCAAGTCCCTGAAGAGGTTTTTAGGTTGGATGTCCTGAAGCAACTGGAGCCAAGGGATATAAAGGAATGACACTTGGTTAGCCCACGAGGCACAGGAGGGAGAGACATTTTTGTCAGTCCAGGAGTTCTGAAGGGGAAAACCACGGAACCCTAGAAGTGCCATGAGCTCAGGGCCAACCAGAAGGGCTGCTCTGTTCCCCTGGATATCAGATGCAGGTGCCCCTTTTCTAGAGCCTTCCAAATTTGGCACTTCTTTTCAGTGGTCAGTCAGCAGTATTAAAATTTCTCTTTCCTGTGTATTAAAATGGTAATATCCTACAACATTGATGCATACTACATAAAATATTCTGTAGAAAAGTGTGGAGCCATTTAGTTGTAGAAAAGTGTGGAGCCATTTAGTGTCAGAGTCAATTATCTTGCTTTATTCAGTCGCCCCTGAGGACATCATCATCACAGAGATTGTTCAGTCATGACCTTCAGTCAAAGAGGAGGCCAGATGATGTTCCATAGTCTCTCTTCTTGAAAATCAGGATCTTTCCTAAGATGTGCTTTAAGATATCAAAAGGTATAAATTTAAAAATGGAAAGATTTTTGTATGTTGGAACAGGTAAGTTAAACTTTGCAGTAGCTAGAAAACTTCTCTCAACAAGTTCTTCTGTTGAGCACTTCCTGTGTGCCTGTACTGGCTTCTGGACAGCCAAGACCCTGTTGTAAAGATGCTACTTTAAAGGGTGGGCACGCTTTGCTCTGTCTTATATCCTGCTGACTAAGCAGAGGTTCCTGGTGAGGCACATAGAGCCTGATGAGCAGGCTGTAGGTTACAACCCTAGAGGGTCAATCGATCCCATCAGGATCCTCCGTGACAGTCACTGTGGCAGCCCTTGCATTGCTCATCCCTAAACTTGGCGCCCAAGCCAACTGGATGTCCTCAGCGTAGGAGGCTCCTGTGTCATGCGAAGCAGAGGCAGCCCTGGGAGAGGAGGGACTGAGAATGTAGACTGAGGGTTGGGCCACCTGGGCTTGAATTCCAGCCCCACAATTGTATGACCTTGAGCAAGTAACTTAAATCTTGAGCTTCTTTTCTGTAATCCATAGGGAAGACAAAGCATCATCTCTTAGGGCTGTTAGAAGGATTCAGTGAGATAATTATAAAATGCTGAGAAGAGTGCCTTCAGTAACACAAAAGTGAATTCTTCATCGTTTTCTGGGGAAAAGAAAACCAGTCCTAGAAATCCAGATTATGGAATAATTTAACATTGCCTGGTGCTTTGATTCCGAAAGAAAGACGAGTTTTACATGTGGGGTATGCCTTCTCTGGGGTTTGTCTACAGTACACTCAGTATCCCGAGTGTTAAGCCAAGTGTTATTATTCGAGCGCATACAGTTTCCACTGTAGAAACAAATAATCCTCTAAGAAAACCAACCCTCCTCCCCGCACCCCGGGAAATAAAAAGAAATAATTTTCTGAGTCATACATGATTCCATGTCATGTATCTCTTGAGGGGATTGCAGAAAAGAAAAATGGGGAACAGAGGCAGGTACCCTGGCTTGTTTTCCCATTAATGTTCAGACTGCTTGGATTGAACAGTCCTTTGGGATATAATCACTGCTTCTGGATTGTACCACATAGTTTCATCTCACTGCCATCCTTTTACGATAGTTCTTTTGTTTTGGTTTTTCAAGTAGTTTTTTTTCCTCAATATAAAAGCATAGTTTGCAGTATTATCCGTTAGTCCTCTTACTCACCATGTTTGTACTCTTCCTTTTTCAGGCATCCCCTGTTTTAAGCAAGTCTGGTAAATGAAAATCCCTATTTACATCACAGATAAATTAGGATTGGGGATTTATTCCCTTTAGAATATATTCTCCTGAAATGCTGACTTCTGTTTTAGCACATTTTAGACTGTTTCATTTAAAAACCAACCAACCACCACCACATGTTCTGGTAGAAGGCTACTGAGACTGTACCCGTGGAGGGGTAAAGCACCAGGGGAGGAGGTGGAGAGGGTGGGCCCTGGGGCTCCTCTGGGGGCAGAAAGCTGGGGAGCAAGCAGGACACGAGAGAGCGGGCTTGGTGGCAGCTGAGACATGTCCTTCCCTCTACAGGGTTTGACACCAGCATCCTTCCCATCTGCAAGGACTCCCTGGGCTGGATGTTCAACAAGTTGGACATGAACTATGACCTCCTGCTTGACCACTCAGAGATCAACGCCATCTACCTGGATAAGTATGAGCCCTGTATCAAGCCTCTCTTCAATTCCTGTGACTCCTTCAAGGATGGCAAGCTCTCTAACAATGAGTGGTGCTACTGCTTCCAGAAGCCTGGAGGTAAGGCAGGAGGGAGGTAGGGCCACCATGCTGTGCAGGGACGGGCCCCCTATCATGTCCTGGGGAGAGAGACAAGGATCAGCAAGCAGAAAGACACAGCTAGAGAATAAAGCAAACGCTCTTTTTCTCCTCATTGACCTCCACTTTCAGCATGGTAGGGAAAACCCAGGAGCATAATTAAGGAGTGTGTTATTCCACTCCTCCTTTTAGGAAAATCTTTTAACTGTTGTGCCTCAGCTTTTCCATCTGTAAGATGGGCGTAGAAACCTTTGCTACATAATTCCCAAAGTCAGTGTAAGATCCTTCATGTCTTTGTTTTTTGTACATTTTCTTCAGATTAGGTTCTTAGGTGTTTCTGTTTGGTTTCAGTAGGAACTCTCTCTACACTAAGACATTAGAATTGGTCTCATCATAGGTATTGCAAATAGTTTTTTTCCCCAAATTGGACTATGTGCGTTTTCGCTAGGGTGAAATTTAAAATTTTAAGATAGTTAGATTTCTCCATCTTTTATTTTGGGGCTTCTTAGAAGCCATAAGGCTTACTTTAAGCTTAGAAAGGCATTTCCCACTGTGAGATAGTAAAGCAACTCTCTTCTTTTCTTTAGTACCTTTGTGGGGCTTTGTTTGTTTACGGAAATCTTTTATCACTTTAGTTTTTTGTGTGTGTGCAGTCAAGTAGGGTCCCAGTCCCGATCCCTTGAGATGGTTGTCCACTTGCCCATTTGTCATTAATTGACTAACCCATCTTTCTCCCACTAGTTTGAAATGCTTCCTCTATCATATATAAAACTCCTATATGCTCTATGTATATCTGTCTATTCCTGGGTGCTCTGTCCTACTAATTGACATGTTTTATTATTTAGCGGACCACTCTCTCCTACCATTAACCTTTTTTCAGAATATCGTTATATGTCCTATATGTTTGAACTCTTTGAATTTTAGAATCTTATAATCAGTTCACTCAATTAAAAAAAAACTTACTGGTATTTTTTTTAGAATTAGGCAAAATTAGATTAATCTAGAGAGTTGACAGCTATATAATATTGAACCCTTTTATCCTAGAACAGGGTTTGTCTGTTAACCAGCAAGCTACAAGTTTTGTTTTCACAGATGTTATACTTCCCTTGTGTTTATTGTTGTTGCCAGTATAGACGAAATCCATTTTTTCCCATTATATTTCCTCACTGGTAATTGCTTCACTATTAAATTTGTTCCCGGCCACCATACTAAATCCTCACTTTATTTATGATGGTTATTCTGGTTGGTTTCCTTGAATTTTTCAGGTGTGCACTCATATTATCTGCAAATAGTGATAGCATTTTCTCTTCTCAATTTTTGTACCTCATTTCTTTCTAATCACATCAGCTAGTTCTTCCAAATCGACGTTACATAATAGCCATGCTTTTTACTTCAATAGGAATGCTTGTGGTGGTTCAGCATTAAGCTTCATGATAGCTTTGGGCTCGAGTTCATACAAATTCATGTGGCTTTAGCTCCAGGTTGAGGCTGAATGAAGCGAAGCCTCATTGCTAATACTTCACCTGGAGGGGTAATGCCAGGGCCCCGAGAGGGAAGTAACTGCCTTAACCACGAGACACAGCTGAGCCCCTGGCCACATGCGATGTCTCCAGATAGGCTGCCCTTTCAGCAACCGTGGGAGGGAGCCAGGACCCACCTATGGAAAAGAACGGCATCTAGGAGGAGTTGAGCAGAAGAATTTGGTGTCGTTCTTTGTTTCTTATTTTGTGTACTTCTCCCATTTTCTTAAGTTAGTTCCTTTATTTTTTTGATAAAGTTCCTACCACCTCCCTTCCTGACCCAGAACCAACTTTGGGAGTTCTATTTACCCTCACCTTTCTTTATTATTTCCTATATTTTTAATGTACGTACTTGAGGGTAAAGTTTTCCTCCAAAGTACTCCTTTAGCTATAGGCCATAGGTATTCATAGTTTGTATTTTTATTATGGTTAATTTGTAGATATTCTACAATTAAGGATCTGGGTACCTCTTTGGCCCAATAAAGCTTTGAAAGAGCACTTTTTAAACTCTTCGTGCTGACTGAGATCATTCTTTTCTTTATTGCCAAGTTTTAGAAGTTTTTTCAGAAGTTCTCATGGGAATTAGTCTTTGAATGTTTGAAAATATATAAATTTCCTTTATACAGAAGCAAAGATGCTAAGTATAAACTTCCTGGAATCATAGTTTGCTCTCTTGATACTTTAATGTTATTCTCCTAGCCCTGGATGTAGTTACTGAAAGAGTGAACCCATACGAATTTTTCTCCCTTTTGGGGGTGATGTACCCATTTTGCCTGGAAGTCAAAACGATTCTTTACCTTTCACGGCTATGAACTTCCTTGGACATGTTTTAGTTTTGCTCAGGCTACATCAATCACTTTTTCCTGAGACATGTTATGCTCTTTCGAGCTCTAGAATTAAAATTTTTTTGTCCCACGTGTTTTGTCCCACGTGTTTAGTCTCTTCTCATCAGTCACATGGACGTTTCACATCAGTTTTGTTGCTTCAGATATAGCCTTCCTTTCTTTAACGGCTTAGTTTTCCTCTTTATGTCATTTATATCCTTGAGCTTTTATATCTGTGCATTAAAATACCTGTAGACGGTCTTTTTTCATTAGAATCTTTGGTAAATATTTTCTTCTCAGCAGCATACATTTTCTGTCACAAGTTTTTCATCTGAAGTTTGTTCTTGTTCGTTCCTCTCTTTTTCTTGCAGCATTTTTAGTAGGTCTCAGTCTTGATTCATTTCTACTTATAAGTAGAGTTTTTAAAGACCGTTTGAGAAAGGGGCCTGACAATTAGAAACGTTCTTCCTGGGAAACTGGCAGTGTTTATGATTGTGCTGCTCCTTCAGGAGCCGTCTTCTAAATGCCTAAAGATTTTTTTCTCTGTATTTCTTCATAGGGAGATGAGCATTTCCATTGGTACCTACCTCATATGGTGACTGTAAAGATTAAATTAATTAGGAGAAAGTTCCAAAACATTAGCTGGTGCATTCTGAGAATTCAGTGAATGTTCATTATTTGCTGTAGATGGTACTTTTTTTTTTTTTTTTTTTTTTTTTTGCGGTACGTGGGCCTCTCACTGTTGTGGCCTCTCCCGTTGCGGAGCGCAGGCTCAGCGGCCATGGCTCACGGGCCCAGCCGCTCTGCAGCATGTGGGATCCTCCCGGACCGGGGCACGAACCCATGTCCCCTGCATCGGCAGGTGGACTCTCAACCACTGCACCACCAGGGAAGCCCTAGATGCTACTTTTAATCATCAAAGAAAGATGGAGTTTGGTCTCTTTTTTGTTGGTTTCAGGTGGTATCTTTCTCCTGTACTCCGAAATCATCTTAAACCCAGAAGTCAAAAACATGTACTTGATAGTTTCTCTCAAGAAATGAGAAGCAAGACCAGGTGGCATTGTGAAATCCGAAGGGTAACAGATGTAAACAGGCACTCAGGTACCTTCTGCAGACTCCACACTTGTACTTACAGAGGTAGGGTAAGTGCTCTGAGAATCCAAATGTCATGGTCTTTGCTAGAGAACCATGAGCAAATAGCAGAGCCACAGCATCTGCAAAGGCCGGTCATAGTAAAATTAAGATTAGTGAGGTCGCCTTTCTTTTTGCATGGAGTGGAAGTCAAAAGGGTACCACACACTTTCATATGCCCTACTTTAGCCCTGTGGCTCCCACTGTATCAGCCCTTCACTTGAGAATGGACAGTTTTGAGCTCGTTTGTAATAACACATGTTTTATCACTGAAGACTTGGAGGCTGAGAGGGAGAAAGAGACAGGCCCAAAGTACTTGCCTAGGAGGTGGCAAAGCCCAGAGTTAAGGTGTCACCCTTCTGTCCCTCTAGATCTCTTCTGTATCTTCATAGTTGTCCCTTGAGGCCTGTGTTTTACTTTCCTGGGGTAGTGAGCCATGAGGTCGGAAGTAGCCATTCTAATCGTCTTTCTATCCTGCAGTAAGACCTGAGGTAGATTAAGTATTTGTCCCAGTCTGTGGATTCAACACACGTACCCACTAGTAACCTTTTATCCTGGTTCTCAGCTCATAGAAGTCTTGGCTGATAAGAGACTTTTTTTCTTTATATAAGGAAGTAAATAATGAAATCACTGACTAGACACTTGGTATTTGCTTGACTGGTTGGTGGGAAGAAAGATTCCTATACAGTGCAAGTAGCCCCCGAATACTATTTTAAGTACCTAGTGGTATAAAATGTTGTTTTTTTAAAATTAGTGCCACTAATGGCCTGAATTTGTTTTGCTGCATAGTAACAGCAGATGAAGTAATTCCACTCCCAGGTGTGTCATTGTCTCCATTTCGTGTCAAAAGTGAAACCAGTCATTAGCAATCATATCCCTTACCATCTGGAAACTGACTTTCATAAATTATTTTTAGGTCTCCCTTGCCAGAATGAAATGAACAGGATTCAGAAGCTGAACAAGGGGAAAAGCCTGTTGGGTAAGTACCATTTCTTGCCACTCATTTAAACAACTAATTAAACCACCCGTGTCTCTTGTAATATTGAGCACAGCCATGCTTATTCAATTAGGGACCAGTGTTTTGTGAAAGAACTGCCTCATATTACCCGAGACAGGGCTCTTCCAGGAAGCTGGTACTATGCAGTAGTCCACAGGACATACTCTGAGGCTCAGTTAGCTGGCTGAGAAACGCTGCATGCTCCATCAGCAGGAGGAGACGTCAAAGGTCAGCCCATGACCAGTGGGCAGGTCACCAGGCTGAAATCGAGCTAACCCCTCCCTGATCTTGGCTTTTCCTTCTTTCAGGTATGGCCATTAAACGGAGCTCTCAAGGGTTCCTTCCAAGTTAAAATGATAAGATCTATAAATTATAGAATTTCCTACATTCTGCAGATCAACTTGTCCATTCAAGGAGGATGATGAGCTGAGTCCCTTCTGAATTTATCAGACAGGGTCCAAGGACTCGAGTGCGCTTAAACACATTTCTGTTTCATGTGCATGATCACTGGACCCTGTCTCTACGTTTCTCCTCTTATCTTTTGTCCAGATGTTGAGGTGGAAGCAAGTGGGTTGTGCGAGTGTGTTTTTTCCCTGACATGCAAATCTGTGGCCAAGGTAACAAATGCTGGCTGTTGAAGGTTCCCTTTAGCTCCATACCCTCCTTTCTGCAGCACGCAGAACAGGCCATTGCTGAGACATCAGAGACACCTCATTTGTTTGCCCAAAAAAGAGCCTGCACTGCTTCCCTTGCTTTTTAAAAAGAGAGCTGACAGCTACAACACGAATTATTCTTGTTAAACATTCAGAAGCAGGTTCACCCCCTAAACAGCCTGCCATTTATCTATTTTCTTGAAGGAAACGGGCAAGTTTTTTGCAGATTGGTCTGTGAACTCTAGCCATTTCTCTTCATCTGATGTTTGTGCCACTCAAAGTGCATCTTATCTCCTTCCTTCTACTTTTTTTTTTTTTTTTTTAATTTTTATTTATTTATTTTGTGGTACATGGGCCTCTCACCGTTGCGGCCTCTCCCATCGCAGGGCACAGGCTCTGGACGCACAGGTTCAACGGCCATCGCCCACGGGCCCAGCCGCTCCGCGGCATGTGGGATCTTCCTGGACCGGGGCACGAACCCGTGTCCCCTGCATGGCAGGTGGACTCTCAACCACTGCGCCACCAGGGAAGCCCCCTTCTACTTTTGAAAATTACTTATTTCACTGGCTTGCCTTAGACTTCCCACTTCTGATAACACCCTTTTCAGCTCACCAAGAACTCCAAAGTTGTTGTGATCTGGACCTGAGTGTAGGTTCTTCTCCAGTGTTGAAGACATAAAAGCATCTTTCTGGATCCCTCTTCCATTGGGCTTTCCTCCAGTGCAAGGACTTGTGCTCGATGATCTGATTCTTCCATGTGCGAGGTCATTTTGGGTTTGAGTGATGTGCTTAAGAGAACTAATAGAGAGTGCTATTTTTGGATGCATGGATATCTTCTTACTGCTTCATTGATAATGAGATATTATTTTTAAAGTATGTGGCCTCAGATAAAATGTCTCATCTTTTATTTTCCCCAGTTCATAGGAATGAAAGGCCTATCTTTTTCCTACTGTGAATCCCACCTAGTTTTAAAGCTCACTTTACCACATCTCCCCACATAGGGATATTATTCCAGCCGACTCATAAAAATACCATTTATCTGCTTACAAATTATTTTTTGCAGGGGAAAATCTCCTAATATAACACATGTGTATTCAGGGGCATTCAGATTCCTAGCAGAGACAAGCAATAACAAATTACAGTCAGTTATAATTACTGCCTACTTAGAAAAAAACGGTGATTCTATTACCTTATAGATATAGAGCAGCACCTGCTTCCTACCAACCTGGGGCCTCAAGCCAGGATATATATTTTTTTGGGGCGGGGCATCTATTAACTGCTCTTGTTTTCCAACTGCAGCTCAAGGAGGAGGATCAGCATTTCCTCACCTTTCTACTTGCTCTCAAAAGAAAACATCTGCTTTTTTTTTTTTTTGTCCTTCCTTCTGTTCCCTGAAGACCAGGGGTGCTGTGCACTGGCTGAGCAACTAAGAGTATGGGCACTACTTCTAATTGCAGCACCAGCAGACTTACCTGTCACTTAGGAGGGATTTTTCTGGGGGCAACTTCCTAGCTGTGATCTTTGAGAACGTGGTCATCTTGGAATAGCTTGGTGAGCAGTTGCTAGAATCAGCTGGATCTGAGGTTACTGTCTGCCATGCCACTCTTCTTTCCAGATCTTTTCTATGAAATAAAATAAAAGGTCAATTTAAAAACACAGTCACTCTCAAAAAATCACAAATAAAATTAGGCAGTAGAAGCCAGCGGTAAGCAGAAACCTCCATCTTCACATGGCTGATTAATGTTACTACTCATGTTACACTGAGAATCGTCCCATAGTAGACGAGCACACAATCATCAAACACACACACACGCCCCCTAAGAAAAATGAAAACTAAAAACTGTCATAAATATTACCTACAGTTGAGTGTTAGAAGAGAAAATATTATCTTCAGGGTGCTGAGAGGAAATCACTTTGAACCTAGGATGTTAAATGTATCTCAGTGATCATCCAAGTGTGATGACAGACATATTCTCAAACCACAGATTCAGTAAGCTTACTAACCGTAGACTTACTAAAGGTTTTAATATGCAGAAGACAAACAATACCAGAAGGAATTATTGAGATACAATGTGGAAAAGAAGGCATGCTGCTAAATCTAAACAAATATGAACTACAAAAATGTTTTGATATCAAGGTAGAATTAAAATTTCAGACTTGGGGGTCAGTGATAAAAATGTGATAAAAATGTGTCTGGTTTATTCAGGAATAAAACAAAATATATAGTTTTTAAACCTATGGAAGACAACCATAGAATAAAGAAAACTTGATCATTTCAACAGAAAGCAGGAAAGGGGGAAGACAGCAAACACAAAATACAGTGGTAGATATAAAAACACACATATCTGTAATCACCATAAATGTGACTGGGCGAAACTCATTTATTATGAGACAGAGACTGAGAAAATCTGACAAGAGCAAATACTTTGTTTTCAGTTCTTAAGAGAAAGAGGTATTATTATCTTGCTGAAATGTTACATGTCATCAATTGGTATACCCATAACTTTAAAACAAAATGTCACATTATAACAATTGTAACTATAGATGTAACCAACATAAGAGCACTCAATATATAAGGCAAATACTAACAGACATAAAAGGAGAAATTGACAGTGACACAATAATAGTGGGGGACTTCACCCCACTTTCATCAATGGACAGATCATCTAGATAGAAAATCAATAAGGAAACACAGGCCTTAAATGATATTTATACAGCATTCCATCCAAAAGCAGCAGAATACACAGTCTTTTCAAGTGCACATGGAACATTCTCCAGGATTGATCACATCTTAGGTCACAAAGCAAGCCTTAGTAAAGTTAAGAAAATTGCAGTCAATATCAAGCATCTTTTCTGACCACAGTGCTGTGAGATTAGAAATCAACTATAAGATAAACACTGGAAAAAAGCACAAACATGTGGAGTCTAAACAACCAATGGATCACTGAAGAAATCAAAAAATGCCTAGAGACAAATGACAATGAAAACAGGATGATGCAAAAGCAGTTCTAAGAGGGAAGTTTATAGCAATACAATCTTACCGCAGGAAGCAAGAAAAGTCCCAAATAAACAACCTGACCTTACGCCTGAAGCAACTAGAGAAAGAAGAACAAACAAAACCCAAAGTTAGTAGTAAGGAAAGAAATCATAAAGATCAGAGCATAAATAAATGAAACAGAAACAAAGAAAACAACAGCAAAGATCAATAAAACTAAAAGCTGGTTCTTTGAGAAGATAAACAAAATGGATAAACCCTTTGACTCATCAAGAAAAAAGTGGAGAGGATGCAAATCAAAAAAATTAGAAATGGAAAAGTTACAACTGACACCACAGAAATACAAAGGACCTTAAAAGACTACTACAAGCAATTATATGCCACTAAAGTGGACAACCTAGAAGAAATGGACAAAATCTTAAAAAGAATGGAAGCCTCTAAGACTGAACCAGGAAGAAATAGAAAATATGAACAGACCAATCACAAGCACTGAAATTGAAAGTGTGATTAAAAAATTCCCAACAAACGAGTCCAGGACCAGATGGCTTCACAGGTGAATTCTATCAAACATTTAAAGAAGAGCTAACACCCATCCTTCTCAAACTCTTCCAAAAACTTGCAGAGGAAGGAACACTCCCAAACACATTCTATGAGGCTACTGTCACCCAGGTACCAAAACCAGACAAAGATACCACAAAAAGGAAAATTACAGGCCAATATCACTGATGAATATAGATGCAAAAATCCTCAACAAAATACTAGCAAACTGAATCCAGCAATACATTAAAAGGATCATATGCCATGGTAAAGTGGAGTTTATCCCAGGGACACAAGGATTTTTCAATATCCACAAATCATTCAGTGTGATACACCATGCTAACAAAGTGAAGAATAAAAACCATATGATCATGTCAATCCCAAACTCCCAGTCTATCCCTCCCCCACTCCCCCTGGTAACCATAAGTTCATTCTCTAATTCTGTGAGTCTGTTTGCTTTCTAAATAAGTTCATTTGTATAGGTTTTTTTTGGATTCTGCAATATAAAGCAATATCATATGATACTTGTCTTTCTCTGTCTGACTTCACTTAGTATGATAATCTCCAGGTCCATCCATGTTGCTTTTCAATGGCTGAGTAACATTCCATTGTTTCCATATATCACTTATATGCAGAACCAAAAAAAATGATACAAACGAACTTATTTACAAAACAGAAGGAGACTCACAGACACAGAAAAACTTATGATTACCAAAGGGGAAAGGTGGAGGTGGGGAGGGATAAACTGGGAGTTTGGGATGGACATGTACACACTACTACATTTAAAATAGATAACCAACAAGGGTCTGCTGTGTAGCACAGGGAACACTGCTCAATATTCTGTAATAACATAAATGGAAAGAGAATTTGAAAAATAGATACGTGTATATGAATAACTGAATCACTCTGCTGTACACCTGAAACTTACACAACATTGTAAATCAACCATAGTCCAATATAAAATAAAATTTTTTAAAAAAGAACACACACACACACAAAGTAACAGAACTGCAAGGAGGAGTTGTCATATCTATAGCCTAATCAGAGACTCTAATAATATACCTCTTCTTGAAAACTTACAGTTCAAGTATACAAAAGAAGAAGTGAACAACATAATTCATTAGCATTTTTATATATGTATTCCTATTCATTAGCATTTTTATATATATGTATTTTTATAGCATTTTTATATATGTATTCCTGTATATGTACATAGGCATAGAATAGACAGTCTGTTCAAACACACATGACATTTGTCATGGACTACACAAAAGAAAACTAAAACTAAACACCTCAAAAAAGTATCACAGATGATATTCTCTACAACACAATACAAACAGAAGTAAAAAATGAGGTTACACAACCTTATATGTCTGGGTTTTATTTTTTAAATAATTAGTCAAAGATGAAATAAAGTAAAACTACAAAACATTTAGACCTGAATGAAAATGAAAGCACTATGTGCCAAAAACAGAGAAGCAACTAAAATGAAACTTAGAGGAACATTCATAGCTTCAAATGCATTTCTGGAAAAAAAAAAAAAAAACAACTAAAATTTCAAATCCAAAAGCTATAAGGACAACACAGTTAAGACTAAAGCAAAAAGAAATCAAATAGACAAAACTTTGACAATGTGAAAGCCTCAAATAGTCTCGTGAATTTAAAAATGGGCTGTAACCTCAGATATAGATGAATAGTATAAATCTGTAGTTCTCAAACTTCACAATTTGAGAACTACAGAAACCCCTGGAGAGTTTATTAAAGCATAGTTTGTTGGGCCCCACTCTCAAAGTCTTTAATTCAGTAGGTTTGAGGTGGGCTCAAGAATTTGCTTTTCTAAGCAGTTTGCTTCCCACTGATGATGCAGCTGCTGGTCCTGGGCCCACACTTTGGAAACCATTGCTATAAACCAACTTACAGCAATTACAAAAACCGAGTTGAAAAGGATACTCTGAGTATGGGTCACGAAGAAAAAGAAGACCCAACAGGCTTAAAAAAAAAACAAAACATTAATTTTAAATCAAAATACTACTGTCACCTCCTAAAATAGGCACCAGGCCCAAAATATTTTTATGGGTGAATCCATGGAAGAGATCATTCTCATTTGATACAAAACATCTGGAGTACAGAAAAAGAAAAATACCTGAATCATTTTACAAATTAGTTGCTTTGATACAGAAATTGAAGAAACAAAACTATATGCCTCTATCACTTAGTAACATAGATGCAAAAGGATCAGAAAATTGAATCCAATATATCATGACCAAGTAGTATCTATTCCAGGAAAGCAAAGATATATTTTTAAAAATTGTGCCACTCATTAAAAGCACATAAAGGATAAAAAAATCCTATGATTCTCTCAAGTATTAATGTTATTGAATCAGGAAGGAATAGAAACTCTGAACAGACCGGTTACTAGTGAGGAGATTGAATCAATAATCAAAAATCTCCCAAGAAAGCAAAGACCAAGAGCAGACAGCTTCACTGGTGAATTTGACCAAATATTTAAAGAAGAATTAACACCAATCCTTCTCCAGCTCTTCCCAAAAAACTTCAGAGGAGAGAACACTCCCAAACTCATTTTATGAAGCCAGCATTACCTTGATACTAAAGCCAGAAAAAAACACTACAAGAAAAGAAAACTACAAGCCAATATCCCAGATGAATATAGATGCAAAAATTCTCTAGCAGCACATTAAAGGAAAGGAAGATGTAAAAGTTTCTTTGTTTGCAGATACAATTTAACCAAGGAGGTGAAAGATCTCTATGCTGAAAACTGTTAAGACATTGATGAAAGGAATCCCATATTCATGGATTAGAAGAATTAATATTGTTAAAATGTCTATATTACCCAAAGTCATGTATAGATTCAAAGCAATTTCTATAAAGATCCCAGTAGCATTTTTACGGAAATAGAAACACAATCCTAAAATTTATATGAAAGCACAAAACCCCCAAATAGCCAAAGCAACTCTAAGAAAGAACAAAGAAGAACACTTCCTGATTTCCAGCTGTATTATAAAGCTATAGTCAACAAACAAGGTTGTACTGGCATAAAAATAGACACATAGAGTAACAGAACATAATTGAGAGCCCAGAAATAAACCCATACATATACAATCAACTAATATATTCAAAAGACAGTCTCTTCAATAAGTGGTGCTGGGAAAATTGGATATTCACATGTAAAAGAATGAAACTAGACCCCTACCTTACACCACTCACAAAAATTAACTTGAAATTGATCAAAGACCTAAATGTAAGACTGGAAACAATAAAACTGCTAGAAAAACACATAGGAAAAAAGCTCTTGACATGGGCCTTGGCAGTGAGTTTTTGCATATGACACCTAAAACACAAGCAACAAGATCAAAAATATGTGGGACTACACCAAACTTAAAAGCTTCTGTGCAGCAAAACAATCAAAAAAACGAAAAGACAACCTATGGAATGAGAAGAAATATTTGCAAACCATATATCAGATAGGGGTTCATATCAATATATGTAAAGAACTCATACAACTCAATAGCAAAAACAAAACAAACCAAAAATTCCACAAATAATTCAATTTGACAAATGGACAAAGGAGCTGAATAGACATTTTTTCCAAAGAAGATATTCAGATGGTCAACAGGTACATGAAAAGGTGCTCAGCCTCACTAATCATCAGGGAAGTGCAAATCAAAACCACAATAAGATATCAGGTCCTGCCTGTTAGAACGGCTATCATGAAAAAGACAAGGGATAACAAATGTTGGCAAGGATGTGGAAAAAGGAGAACCCTTGTGCACTGTTGCTGGGATTATAAATTGGTGCAGCCCTATGGAAAACAGTATGGAGGTTCCTCAAAAAATTAAAGATAGAACTACCATATGATCCAGAAATTCTGCTTCTGGGAATATATCTGAAGGAAATGAATATACTATGTCAAAGAGATATCTGCACACCCATATTCATGGCAGCATCATTTACATTAGCCAAGATGTGGAAACAACCTAAGTGTTCATCAACGGATGAATGGCTAAAGAAGTTCATATATGTTTATATATATATATATATATGAACAGAACATCATTCAGCCAGAAGAAAGAAGGAAATCCTGCCAATTGTGATGACATGGATGGACTTTGAGGGCATTATCCTAAGTGAAGTAAGTCAGACAGAGAAAGAAAATACGGTATGATCACTTGTATGTATAATCTAAAAACAAACTTTGAGACTGGTGGTAAACACAGGCAGAGTATGGGCAGTGGGAAAATTGGATGAAGGTGGTCCAAAGGTACAAACTTCCAGTTATAAGATAAATAAGTACTGGGATATAACATACAACGTGATATCTATAGTTAACACTGCTGTATGGTAGATGTGAAAGTTGCTAAGAGTAAATCCTGAGAGTTCTTCTCCCAAGGAAAAAGACTTTTTTTTTTTCTATATGAGATGATGGATGTAAACTAAATTTACTGTGGTAATCATTTCACAATATATAAGTCAAATCATTGTGCTATACACCTTAAACTTATCCAGTGCTGTGTGTCGATTATATGTCAATTACATTTCAATAAAACTGGAAAAACTTCTGAAATAAAAAGTTATTAATAAGAGTAGAACCACAGGGAAAAAGAGAACTCATCCAAGAAGGAATCCTATCTAACCTTGAGCAAGTCCTAGGGCCCTGTAATTTTGATTAGGTAATAACCAAGCATGCCTTTCTTTCTTGCTGGCTTTGCAGTAAATACCCTGTCTGATGTGTGTGCCCTCTTGTCTGTTTTTGAGGGCATTAATTCTGAGTATCTGTGCACTTCTCTGATTCAAGTTGGACCTTTCGTTCTCCCAGGAGCACTCATACCTCGGTGTAATGAGGAGGGCTATTACAAAGCCACACAGTGCCACGGTGGCACAGGGCAGTGCTGGTGTGTGGATAAATACGGCAACGAGCTAGCTGGCTCCAGGAAACAGGGTGCTGTGAGCTGTGGTGAGTAAGGCCTGCTGCATCAGCCCCCAATGACCTCTGGTGACTTAGAGGTACTCACTGTATGAGGATCTGGGCAGAAGAATTTGTAGAGGTTGTTATGGTCTACAGCGAGTGAGTTTACAATGGAGATAAAGTAACCCTGAAATCACATGAGATAATGCATAGCTAGTTTTCCGAGTGCCAGGAGCTCACTATGGCCAATGAACTGGACAACAGTTTTTGACAGTCAGAAACGGTTGCAGGCAAAGAGTGACTCAGATAGACCTCCCAAAAAGGTAGAAACATCTCAAGAATTCTGGGGCTCATATCAGAATAAGGCTTGTGGTCCATGCCAGGTAGACAGGGATGCTCTCACGTTCAGAAGGTAAATTGCATGATTTTGCCCTACAGTTAAGGAAGTCGTGACGCATAAGCAGAACCTAAGCTCAGATCTTTTCTTCCTTCTTAATGTTTCAGAAGAGGAGCAGGAAACTTCAGGGGATTTTGGCAGTGGCGGCTCTGTGGTCCTGCTGGATGACCTAGAGGACGAATGGGAGCTGGGACCAAAGGACAAAGCGGGGAAGCTGCGGGGGCACGCCCGGGCAGTGACGGAGGACGATGAGGACGAGGGCGACGAGAAAGAGGACGAGGTTGGGTACATATGGTAGTTCCCACGGGGAGGAGGACACGAGGTTCGCACAACACTGCAAGTCACTTCCTGTTCCTGCATTTGTATCTAAGACTCCACGGCACATGGCCTCTTCTCCATTGTTGCCCTCTCTACCCAACCTAAGGTTCGGAAGACAACTCCTTGTTCCCGGAGCATTCTGATTTTGCATACGGCGTGTGGGAAAAAGGGTGTTGTGTTTTGTTTTTTAGACAGGGGAAGGCTGGCTGAATTAGAGCCTCCTTCCCTCCCGTGAGTTTTTTGCAACAAGCATGTGATTTATGTGGGATTCTGACAGTGCAGGGAGCCCCTACCCTCAAACGTCAAAGACCCTTTGCGATCACCGACACTGGTGGTTAGTACAGCATGGTTCCCGGCCTTACCGTGTCTAAGTGCTTTTCTTGTGTCCTGTAGATGTTGTGGAAAACACACTGCACTGTACCTTGTTCCCACTGCCCCCCACCACCCCTGGTGTCTATTACTACAAATCAGTTTTTCACATTACTCGATCTGGCTTCCTACAAACAACAGCCTTAATTCAGTCAAGAGTCCCTTTGGGGAACTGATCTCCTTTATTAGAAAAGGTGTCTGGATGCTTCTCTCTGTACGTACATAAACATGGAAGTACGTACAGAAGAGACTATACACACCTCTCAGAAAAAAAGGGTTTGGGTATCTATTAAAAACTCATTTGAAAAACAATTACACATTTGTCAGCTTGTCCAGACCTGGATCATCATTTCTGGAATAGGAAATGTGTATCAAAGTCCTTTTTTGCACTAACAGTTGGCACTTGTAGCCTGCAGACTGAGGAGGCTGCTTCTGTCTGCGGCAGCAGAGTTATTGGAAGCCTCTTTGATTTGGATAAGCCTCTGTCTGCCTAAATTGCTTTCCTCGCAGAAGCCATGCGACTCCCACGCAGGCAGCTTCACAAGCCATCTCTCTCATTTCAGCTCAAGCGCCCCTGGGGCTTGCAGCAGTCCTGTGTGCGGCAGGCCCCTCCCTTCCTACCTACTCAAGGGCTTTTTCTAAGGCATGTACACATACCCTCTGCTCTCTGAGAAGACAGTCCCTCGCTGCTCCTTAGCAGAAGAAAATTCAGCATTCTTAACTCAACTCAATGTTTCAGTTTTGCCGCTCTCTAGCCACACATCATGATGAGGCTAGAAAAGCTCTACAGATTTTTGATCGCTCATCATTTGTAAAGAGTCTCAGATGGAGGCCTAGAAAGAACTCCATGACGGCACATGGGAAGCTAGGGCTAGATTTTTAAGAGCTAGTCCTGCCCTTATCCCCTCCCCGACACAAGTGTCAAGGTACTAATGAAGAAAGCCCTTTACCATTGCGTTTCTTTTCCCTAAGTTAACTCATGATTAGAGTCTATCTCCAAATTTGGTAGGGTCATCATCTCTATAGTCTTTAGGATTTCTCCCCCTATCAGGCTGGCCCCCGTACAAGTACCAAAGAGTAGTCTTCAAAGTATCCCCCATTTAGCTCAGTACAGGGCCTTAAGCTCCTGCCCCACCCAGTTTCCACCCACAAGGACGCCCTCATCAGCCAGCCGGCAAGGATCTCTTGCCCACATTTGTTTTCCTTCCCTTCCTGCACTCCAGCTAGTCCACAAGGAGACCGCATAAACTCAGGCGAAAAATATACCCAGCCAAACCATGATTACAGCGGCAGCTGACCACCCCCCGCTCCAAACTGACCATTTGTTTATACTTTACCAGCCCACCTCAAACTAGTATTTTCCAATCCCTGCATTGGCCAGACCCAGTGGCATTACCCCTGGACTTGGCTAAGATGGGACATGAACTTACTTGATATGGCAAACTCATTTGGCCTGATAGAATGAGCACAGCCAGGACCCTAGGTATCGGGTGACCATAGGCAAGCTCTGTATTGGGATCTCAACTCCTTCACCTCTGTTTCAGTTTTTGTTGTTTTTTTCTCACTTGAACAAAACTCTGAGATGATAATTTAGAAAACAGGTGCTTAATTGCAGCTAAATTACAATCGAATGTATAAAAGAATCGAGACGTAGTTTTAAAATCTCAGTTTAGACCATCAAAGAAAACCATCGTTACTATCTCCTCTGAGCTTGGAAAAATGCACAAGAGAACAAATTAAAATCGACAAATCGATTTCACTTAGAGAAACTTCTAGGAACAGAGTGAACCACACTGATCTTAATTTGCCTAATTATCTTATGACAAGTGTCAAATTAAGATGACACTTAAAGATCCTTAGCATTAACTTAATGATGGAGAAGAGCGCTCACTAGTCAATTCCCAGGAAGGTAATGAGATGCTCATTTTCAGAGACATTCCGAGAAGGTATTTTGAATCATTAAAATATTAAATAAAAAGCCCTCCTAAGACTGGAACCCCAAATCAATGGAGCAACATTAACGCCACTTTTCATGCCTCGCTTTGGCAAGACAGCATTAGATTTTTTTAAAGGTACTTTGCATAAGTAGTAAAGATTTGATATTTTAGTTACCTCATCCTTAGAAGAAGAATTTTTGCTTTCCTCTTTTTTGGCAGGAGTCCTTTAGCTAGTGATGGAGTATACATAAAAATCTTGATTAAAAAAAAATAGTACTGTGATAATCATTCCCTTGTTGGAGACAGATATGGAGTTGAAACTTCACTGGCTCATTTTTGGAATCTCCTTAGTAAATAGTTATATTCTTATTCCATAAATGGTTCTTTTATTTGATACCATTTCCTTGGCATCTAAGTTAAGCCCCAGAATTTTCTTCCACAATGGTTAGTTGTCTAACATATTACTGTCTTTTTGTTTCCGTGAACATTCTAGGCATGGGAATACCTTCACACTGAATTCGAGATATTATATCAGGTCCTCCTCCTTTATGCCCATTTTCCCATGCCCAGCAGTGAATGACAGCGTGTCTGTCCAGGTCTGCCCCTCTCCTCTTCACGGGATGCCATCTACAGTTTCGTTTAGTTTTTACCTTGACCACACTGTACAGTAACATCCAAGAGCCCTTTCTACAGTGGGTGGTTTTGGTCTTTTTATACCTTTTTCTCAAAGTCACTGATGTTTGTCTCTGTTCAATGTGTAGTACTATAATGAGAGCCCTCCAAATCCTGAGTGTCAGTTTGTTGTCCCTATTGTAGATGAAATAGTGAAGTAGAACAACCTAGTAAATTCTGAATGCTTTCCCACATAGACTTATCTGGAATGTGAACACGACTCTTTGGTTAATAGTAAATGCTTAACTGTAGTCCTGAGTAGGTGCATTTCTGTCTGTCCCAGTAAATTTTAATTTGTCTGCAACATCTGAGTGTGTGTCTTTTGTTAGCTTGCACATGCACTCGCCAGGCCATGTCCACACATGACCTCTGGAGAAGAGTATGCGCCGGTCAAGGGGATCACCAACACAGGGCCCTCTGTGAGGCCAACCTGCTGGTGCTCCAGCCTGTCCTGACCCCTCTCAGCACACCCTGGCACATCCATGCCCTGTGCCCCCTCAGCCTAGAACCTTCTCACCCGACCCCTCTTTCTGCCACGTTCTCCCCTCTCAAGCCACAACTTGCTTACTTAGTCCTTATCCATCAGGTTTCACTGTTGTCATCCTGTTTGCAACCTTAAGCTTTTTCAATTCTTCTTCTTCCTTCCCTCCCCAGTCAGTTATTCTCCAATTCTCTTGGGAAAAACAAAAAACAGAAAAAACTCCTTTACAGGGACTCTGAGATGTCCTCAGTTTATGGCTGAACACACCAGATGCTTGTCAAACATCAGAAAACACCCAAATTGTAACAGGAATTATTTCCTTTCCACCTTTATCCACATTAAAGCCAGGGTATCTATGACTTAATTATACCCTGAGTGAGTAATTTCACCACCAACCGAGGTAGAAACTATCTTATGAATAATTCTAATTCTTTACCCAATGGACTGCATCTTACAGACAATTTACAGATTGACAGTTCAAGGAAAGATGCTTCATAAATCCACAAAATAACTAAGGTCAGAAGAACAGTGGCCAATATGAAGCCTCCAGGGTAGGTACAGGGTACCTTAAAGAGCAGCTGGCATTTGTGGACACTCCCAAAATTCCTCTTAAATCATCAGATTTACAGTCAAACCCCACATGTCTCCTCAAGTTGTGTCTTCATGGAAGCCACCTCTGTCCGTTAAAGGCCAGGACCAAAGGAATCTTAGTTATACAGCGTGAGTAAAAAGGTCCCAGCACCTCTCAAAATTCTGGATCAGTTTTCAGATTTGCTTTGACAAACTGATTCAAGGAAAGAGGACGATTTCAAAATTTATTCATTCAACAAGACTTTAAGGTTAATTAGAAGATTTGTAGCTATATAGATTAATATATGATGGATGGATGAATGCCACTATGGGCAGGCACCATATTCAGTGCTAGGAATATATCAAGAAAAGTGAATAAGACCTAGGGGGTCCTGCTCTGTAAAGTTATCTCCTTGAAAAAGACAAATAACTGTTACAGTAAGGGTTGGTGGATATCATAGTTGACACCAACAGCTACTGCAGCCTTGTTTAAAGCTCACCTTTCCTGATTTCTCATATCCATCATTCACTGATTTTCATCCTACCTCTCTGGCTATTCCTTTTAGGTCTCCTGTATTTCCGTTTGTTCACCCAGTTCTGTTCATACAGGTGTTCCTCAGATCTGTGTCCCTGGCCCATTCCTCTTTAATTTTACATGCTTTCTCTAGACAAGCTTATCTACATCAGTGATTTCAACCAACTCCTCCACTTGAAGAAGCCCCGGTCTATGTTTCAAGTGCAGGTTTTGATTCCATTCTGAAAAAGTCACCTGACATTTAGATAATTCTACTCAAATTTCCCATTACCACCTCAATTTTAAACCTTAAAACATCAAAATGATAGAATGAAATATAGAGTGAATATGCCTATGAAAACAGGAGTCAGCAAGGCTTCTTTAAAAACAATTCCTAGCAAATGTGAGCCATAAAGGAATAGATTAATAAATTTTCCTCCATCAAAATTAATAGCATGTCATGAACAAATTTAAAAGATAAACGAGAGACTAAAGAAGATAATGAGGACATAAAACAGATGAAGGATTAGGATATAAAATTTTTAAACTCCTACAAATCCATAAGAAAAATAGAATTCAACAGACTAATGGGGAAAGATAAAAACAAGCGAGCCATGGAAGACACACAGATGGCAAAGAAACCATGCCTAACCTCACTCATGATCAGAGAAACACAAATTAAGCAATGATCCCTCAGTTTCACTCAGAAAAAAATCATGATCATGTCAAGTGTTGTTGAGAGTGTAGTATAAGGAACACTCTTACACACTGTACAGTCCAATCAGCCATTGGAGGGCAGTTTGGTAATAACTATATAAGTAAGAGTAAATACCCTAGGACTGAATAATTTCACTTCTCAGTAATTACTCCTAGAGGAAAAAAATCACACTAATTTACAAAGATATATGTAAAATGTATATCCATTGTACCATCACTTGTTAGAACAGGAAATTTGGTACAAAACTAAGTATCCATCAGTGGGCACAACGGGCAACTCTACGCTCTGGAATACTATGCAGTAGTCAAAAATAATGAAGTAATTTCATATGCACTGACTTACCAAAACTTCTAAAACGTCAGTTGTATGAAGAAAACAATCAAGTGATACAGAGTATGAAATATGTAAATTAGATATATAAAAGGCTATACAATCCACTTTCTCTGAGTAAATATGGAAATACACAAAACAAGGTCTGAAAGGACACACACAAAGCTGGTAGCAGTGGTGACCTCTGAGGAAAGGACTGGGACTTGGTCTGATCAGCCTCATCTCTATGTTTCACTTTTGCTTATTATCATGAAAGCAATACACCATGTCTTGTATGATTTCAAAATAATTCATTAGCTTCCTCTTCAAGACTTCTCCTGATACACTCCTTGACTTCAGGAATAGCACCATCTACCCCTCTCTCTCCAACTCCCAAATGGTAATAAGTCACCGAATTCTTTCAATTCTTCTTTCTAAATATCTCTTCCTCTCTGTCTCACCACTGCTGTCATGGTTCTGACCACCATCCTCTCTCTCAATTGTCTTGGGAATTTTTTAACCAGTGACCCTGCTTTATTCTTGCCCAGCTCCAATACATCTTACATGCTGCTTCTGCCAAAGTAATTTATTCTCAAAGGCAAATCTGATCATGTCACTGCCCTACTAAATTTTCAAGGTTTCTCATCACTGTCACGACCAAATCTAAGTTACTTGGCTTGGCAAATACACTCCTTTGTAATTGATCCCTTTCTACCTCTTTGTCTCCTTGCATTCCTCACATCTCAAATTCTAATCTTTTTCCCAAGCACCTCCACCCTTCTCAAGCTTCTGCCTGTGTTCCTGATAGTTCCTTTATCAAAACAGCCGAGGAGTACCAGCTCCAATTATTATTCCTCTAGGAACCCTTTTCAATTACTCTGAGAATTACCAAGCACTCCTACCCTTTTCTCTAGAACCCTGTAACTCCAAACCAGTGCTTGGTAACTGCCATGTCCAATTCTCTCATCAAATATGAATCTTTCAAAAGCCAGAGATAAAGCAAAATGACAAACTAGGAAGCTCTAAGCCATCATTCCCCCAGAGAGACATGAAAAATAACCCAAAACTGGCTAAGATAACCTTATAGGAACGCTATTAAGTGGTTAAAGTCTACAACAACCAAGTGAACACCCAAGCAATAAAAAGCCATATTCAAAATGGTAGTAAATTCCATGGTGTTTTACTTGCCCTGAACCACTGCTTCCCCAGTGCATAATGGTCTTGATCTAGAGGAGGTGGCAGCAGAGTTCCTAATTCTATCCCATGAACCAGAGGGAACAAAAAAGACCTTTTCTGCAATATTCTAACCTATCTTGGGGCTTCCTAAAGGACAGGAGTTTGTGATGCCTAACTCAAAGATCAGGCAGGGAGAAACAGGTAGCACTGCTCATGAAAGCTGCAAGGTACTAGAGACCTGCAGATACCTGAGACAGCAGAGTATGGGTAAAGTGAAGTAAACCCTTTGGGACATTTAAAAGCAACTGTGTACATAGGAGAATCAAAAAATGCTGCCCACAGGCCCAGGCAAAATGCATGCTCAGCTAAGACACATGAGAAAACCTTACATCTTCACCTTGGACTGATCCCAAGCCTCAGATATGACCAGTTAATTAGTGAAGGACTTCCCTGGTACAGAACTGGTATGCAAAGTCTGAGAAAGGTGGATGTTTTTTTCAAATGCCCTATTTTTCACAAGGTACACAAACTATCAGGAAAACATGGCCCATTCAAAGGAAGAAAATAGAGTGGCAGAAATAATCCCTGAAGAAGCAAAGGCAATGGAATTTAAAACAACTGTCATAAATATGCTCAAAATGCTAAAAGAAAACATGAACAAAAGACTAATGGAAACAAGGAAAATGATACATGAACAAAATGAGAATATAAACAAAGATAGAAATTATATATATAAAAAAAACAAATAGAAATTCTTGAGCTGAAAAGTAGAACTGAATAGAAAATTTCAGTGCACCGGTTTGACAGCAGATTTGAGCAGGCATATGAAAAAAAATTGGTGAAAAAAATCAAATTAGGACATATGACATCATCAAGTCTGAGAAGCAGGAAAAAAAAATGAAGAAAAGTGAACAGAGCTTAAGGAACTTATGAAATGCCATGAAGTAGACCAGTATATACATTATAAAAATCCCAAAAGGATAAGAGAGGAAGGAGTAGAGAGATTATTTGAAAAAATAATGGCTGAAAATGTGCCAAATTTGAGGAAAGACATGAATTTGCACATCCAAGCAGCTCAATAGACTGGAAGTGGGGTAAATCCAAAGAGACACACACCAAGACACATCATAATCAAACTACTGAAAGAGAGAGAATCTTGAAAGCAACAAGAGAAAAGTGATTCATCACATACAAGGGATTCTCAGTAAGATTACCAGCCAATTTACCACCAAGAAACCTTGGAGGCCAGAAGACAGTGGAATGAAATTATTTAAAGTAACAAGAAAAAAGAAAGAAACATAGCAACAAAGAATTCTATAACTAGTTAAAATATCTTTCAAAAAAAATTAAGACACTGTCAGATAAACAAAAGCTGAAGGAATTCATTACCACTAGACCTGTCCTATAAGAAATGTTAAATGGAGTCCTTCAGGTTAAAATGAAAGGAAGCTAGATGGTAACTCAAAACCATATGAAGGTATAAAATTCTCTGGTAAAGCTAAATACATGGTCAAATATTTTTTAAAAGTATTGTTG